GAGCCCCGCGGCTTCTCCTGGTCTGGCACGCTTCCCGTCCCCTGCGGTCCCGGGGACCGCGCTGTCCCAGACGGCCGCGAGGTGACTCACAAGGGAGGAGAGCGGTGTTTGTGGAAGGCGTTTTCCAGGAAGTTAGCCAGCTTTTCACAGTCGTCCTAAAATAAAAGAGAAAACACGCCGGAAGGTCAGTTTGGTGTGGCTACCTTGTACATCTCCTTCCTTACATGGTCCCAGCCCAAGCCACCGACTTCACATAGAATCATAGATTCATAGAACGGTTTGGGTTGGAAGGGACCTCACAGACCATCCCGTTCCAACCCCCTGCCATGGGCAGGGACACCCTCCACTACACCAGGTTGCCCAAAGCTTCATCCAACCTGGCCTGGCACACTGCCAGGGATGGGGCAGCCACAGCTTCTCTGGGCAACCTGTGCCAGTGCCTCACCACCCTCAGAGTGAAAAATTTCTTCCTTAGATCCAACCTAAATCTCCCCTCTTCCAGTTTAAATCCATTGCCCCATGTCCTGTCACTACTCGCCCTTGTAAAAAGCCCCTCTGAGTTTTGACATGGAAGCGAACAACTCACAAGCACATCTGGAACATGCCACTAATAAGCACCATATTTACTGAAAAACACCAAATGACCACTCGGGAACGGGGCCTTTTTGTGTCAGGTGCCACATAAAGGCCAAAGAGCAGACAGTTCTTTGGAGCTTCTGGTCTGAAGGAACGTAACAGGTCCAGCTTCTTTTGTTCAGTTTAATTTCAACTTAATTAACTGACTACTGGCTCTAAAGTTATCTTTTATGGCCATCTCTTTTATAATATCCTCACTGGTAACAAAAATAAAAATTAATGTCACTTTTCATTGGTCTGGCCACTATTTTGTGCAGAAATCTCTTTTCTGACATATTCAGGAGTAGGTGGTTTCTGACAAAATTAGGATGTTTATTCCTTAAGAAAGAAGTTACTGAACTACCACACTGATATGCAAAGGGTGCAAAACACCCCCACTTTGTCTCGTAGAGGGGTTTTGGAATTGCCAGAAACAACTCAAAATTCTCACTCAAATGAAAAATGCAAAATCAGTTGTTTTCTTGCTGCTTAGAGCGGTCCCTTTGTCACTACTGCTGCTAAATTACTACTTTTAAGAAAAAATTTGGATTTAAGAGACAAGATTTTTAAGGCATAGGTGGTATCTCGTTAGACCAACCACTATAGTTAGAAAACCAGAAGAGCATCTGGGCAGACAAGTCCTTCAGGCCAGGAAGAAGCAGCACGCTTCCAAGCTAAACACGGGCTCGCGACACCTGCTCAGAGTTTAACACAGTATGAACCAGTATGAACCAGTTATACCACCTGAGAGCAAAGGTAGCGGGTACCTGCGGAGTAGAAAAGATGTTAGAGAGGGGAGGACATGTTAAAAGGAGGTTACCTCCTAGGAGGAAGAAAGAGAAAAAGAGTTCACAGCCCGTGGAACGCAGACGGACCCGTGTGAGGTATATCCTACGGTACGAGGTTGCCCCAAATGCCACGTGTTTTCCAGAGCAGAGGCGGAAGCAGCCCGGTGTGCCAGCGCCGAGCTGCACAGTCACCATGCTCGGGTGAAGAAAGGAAGAAAGTCCGAATGGACTTTTTTCCAGCTGTACTCATAAATTTTTCACTCAGTGACGCTGACCCCTTCCTTGTCTAATGTCAGCATCCGGAAGGAGGAATTCTCCAAAACTTTGCCTACAGCCCCAGAATTCCTAACTTGCACAAAATAAAAATAAATACACTTTTAATTCTCTCCATGCTGCCTTTGCTGGAGGCTCTACTGCCGAGCAGCCTGACCGGCTGGGGTGCTCCGAATTCTTCCCTGGGACTATCCGCAAACACGTAAGGAGAGCCCAGCCGTTCCCTGCTGGGGTGGCCATCTATCCTGGCAGACAGAAACCAGGCTTTGGGCAACCTGGTGTAGTGGAGGGTGTCCCTGCCCATGGCAGGGGGGTTGGAACTGGGTGGTCTGTGAGGTCCCTTCCCACCCAAACCATTCCATGGTTCTATGAAACCTGCAAATTGAGTTCAGAGCAGCTGTCCAGACAACACCGGCCGCCGGGGCCGTTCTTCTGGGAGATGGGAGGTGGCCTCAGCCTCCTTCCCTTGGGCTCCTCTGGCTGTCACGTTCAGAACCACTGCGAGGTGGACGTAATTAACACTGCCATCACAACATGACTGTCCCCTCGGGCAGGAGTGAAGTATGGAGGAAAAAAACAGCAACTCAACAAAAAAAGGATGCGTTCGCACCGTGAGGGGAGCGAGTGCAGCGCGGCGCTGCGGGCTGGCCTCTGCCACGGCTCTGCGGCTGCCAGGTGGAGCACGGAGGAGCTCTTACTCCTCTGAGGCATGAGCGGTGCCGCACGGATTTGGGGACCACGCTTGGTGGCACGGTGCACACGTGGCGAGGAGGCTTACCTCGTGGATGAACCCATAGTGCACCAGCTCCGTGGCCAAGTCCTTGGAGTTATCAGCTGCAGAGACACGGAACGGTGAGAACGTGAAGGCTCGTGCATCTCTTCCTTCCCCCTCCCCCAGTAAAGTGCCCCCCCCCAGCCCGCAGCACACCCGCACTGTGCCGCGCGCTGCGGGGGCACGTGCTCTGTGCTCTTGGCTGGCCAAGGAACTGCCAAGTCACCCTGGGGCACACGGAGCGCAGAGGCGGGCAGTGATGGGAGCTGAGCAGCTACAGGGCAGGGACGAGCTCCGGTCCCGATCACACAGCGCAATGGCCTTGGCAGCGTGTTACTGCGAGACGTTCCGCTTGCCTTGGGCCAGCACGAAAAGCAGGTGGCCACTGCGGGCAGGCAGGAAAACCTAAGGGGCTGCTGGAGCAGCAGGTCCCAAGCACTGATTTCCAGGCTCTGTGCTTTAGTTTTGGCTGTGAGCCATCAAGGGGCTCCAGCTGCACGGCCCCGGGTGCAAAAGGCTAACCCTAACCCTAGGGTGTCTGAGGAAGGAGCCCACGGTGCTGGATCCTTCCCCAGAGCCATGGGCTTCCTCAGAGGAGGGTCCACCTTCTCTTTTGAAAGGTATTGCGGAGACTGCACCAGTGTTGGGAATGAGGGCAGAATTCACTGGTATTATCCCCAAAATGGCATGCCACATGTCCCAGAGCGCACGTTCCCAATGGGCACTCACTGGACTCCCAACATCCCTTCAGAGGGCAGGTTACAACCACGTGCCAGAGGCTGTAAGCTCAGGGTCTGAGTGGCCAAGAACTGGTGCCACGTGGCTATTAGGGTTTCGCCCGCTCGCCCAGGACACGGAAAGAAAAGCTGGCTGAGCCTAGAGCTGACCAGGGCCACCAGGCAACACCTCTGCACTCACGCACAGAAGTTCACTTGCGAGCAAACCTACTGGGCAGCAGGTCGTAGCTCAGCTGTCGGTGCAATCTGTCCTCCAGGATCAGCAGAAGAGTGAGCTGTGGAAAGAAGAGGGTGCTCTTTACCAACGCCCGTTTCTCCCTAAGAGTGCTCCTCCACCAGCACTGGGAGCTGCAACTGTGAAACCAGAAAGAAGGCGAGCTAAAAGATGTCCAGGCAAAGATATCAAGGGCTGTCCTGCAGCCAGAGGGGGCTGGTGGCTTCCTTCTGCTTCGGGCTTCTTTTATGACAAAGGGACGAGAGGACGTATTTGGGTACTGCGGCACAGCGGCTAAGACCAGACTTTTCCCAGTCGGACGCCAGAGATGGGTACAGAGAGCAGGTCTTTCCCCAGTGTCTCATGCAGAATAGGAGCTGGATACTTACGTGCCACTGGGTCTTGTCTTCGTTCAGCTCCATGTTACATTGCATTTGCACCACCTGGAAGGGGCCAAAACCAACATCAGCTCGGACACCGTCCCTCCGGCTCCCCGGGCCTGCTCTACTTCTGCTCTCCAAGCAGGACTTTCAAATCTCTACTCAAGCCCCTTAATTCCAGCTGCCAGCCTGACCTTCCACTTCTTCTCACATTTCTAGGAATTGTCCAGGTGGAGCAGCTGAGGGCTGGTTTAGCCCAGTGCCCAGCGACAAACCACGGCCATGGTCAGAGAAGTGGGTAAGGGAGCCCTGTGCAAGGTGCAACTTTGCAACCAGGATTAATCGTCTGCTCCATTTGCCAGGGGTGGCCTTCCCCCTAAAGCCCTGCCCAAACTCTTGGTTATGTCTCAATGATGTGATTGTTCATGTCCTTGTGGGATGACCAATCCTTAGATCAGACAAAAAGAGCAAAACCGAAATCTTGAATATTATTAAAATTACATATGGATTTTCTTTTGGAAATCCCGCATTGCATCGCAGAATATTCAAATGTGTTACACAAATACGGCATTTTATTAATGTCACCTTCAAGTTCCTATAAAGGGACTGGGTCAGCTTCAAGCTGGGTTAGCTTCCAGCTTCAGCAAGTCAGCTTCAAGTTCCCATGAAAACGGCTCACACCAGAAGTCACGTTGTCCAGGCAAAGGGAAGCCAGAGAGGGCGTGCAACTGGTCAGCCCAACGACAGGGCACCCAGCGAGGAATCAACGCCCCTGTTCCACGCAGGGTCCAACAGGGTTTCATTTACATTCCTCCATTTCAAGCCTATGCTCAGAGGTGAGTCACCTGCTCGTTCCTCCCTCTGACCCGGCACCCCTCTCCTACAGCCCCTCCCCAGGACACACAGCCCTGGCCGTGCAGCTCACTGTCCTCTGACCTTTATCACCTCCAGGCCACCCGCTTCTCCAGGAAGAGCTGACTGGTGTGACTGTACACCCAAGGTGGGTGTCCTTTGCTTACACCAAGTGACACCAGCACACTGTCTGCCCTCGTGCTCCTTTATGTCCTGAATTACACCGAGCTGTGCGGCATCTCGCAGACATCATCAAAGAGAAGGCTGATGATGTTTGAGCGCATCATTGCCACCTGCTGCCCACCTTTCTCTACCTGATGCCCCAAAGATCATTTAGGTGGGAAGGGACATCAGGAGGTCTCTAGTCCAAGCCCCTGCTCAAAACAAGACAAACAGTGAATTCAGACCAGGCTGCTTAGAGCTCTGCCCAACTGGGTTTTGAAAATCTCCAAGGAGATCCCACAACCTCTCTTAGCCCCAGGTCCACTGTTTAGAATCATGGAATCATAGAACGGTTTTGGTCGGACGGGACCTCAAAGATCATCCAGTTCCAACCCCCTGCCACGGGCAGGGACACCCTCCACTACACCAGGTTGCCCAAAGCCCCATCCAGACTGGCCTTGAACCCCTCCAGGGATGGGGCATCTACAACTTCTCTTCCTCACCATGAAAAAAAATTCCTTGGATCCATCCTGCATCCATATTCCAGTGCATCCCAGAATAGACAAAGAACCTGCATTGTTGCTACACTCCTGTGGGACTCGCACTTAGAAACTCCATGCTTCTGAGATTACCAGTCCTTTGTCAAACTGGATAAAAACCAGTTGAACGCGTTGGTCGGACAGACCGCGCACTTGCAGAGCTTTGCTGGGGGCACTGGATGAAAACCAGCACGTAACAAAGGCAAAGAGGGGAAAAGAGAACGGCGCAGGTTTACATTCACATTCCGCTGTCGCATCCGCTCGATGGCCACAGCCCTGGCGCTAAGAACACGCGCTGGGCCGTACGGATACAGCTACGCTCGGGGGGCGGACAGCCCACGCTCGGGCAGGCAGGAAGAACGCGCTGCTGCTGCGCTTTTTGAAGGAGACCTTCTCCCAGGATCGTGCAGCAGCAGCAGTCAGGTTTGGCCCTACACTGGGTTTTTAACACTAGTTCAATGCAAGGATGAAATTGCGTCCGCGTCGTCCACGGGAACACGGACAGTGCCACAGGGGATGAATAGCGAATGGCTGGAAGGGAAGATACAGGGAGATACCCGCACAGGGAAACACCAGGGAACACGTGAGCTTTTAAGAAAGAGGGGGGCACAGAGACCGCCGAGTTCCTCTGACCGCTCCCGACGACGGCCGGCAGCTCAGGAGACCGGAGCCTTTGGAAGAAGGGCCGTGCCCGAGCTCTGCCCTGGCGATGGTGGCCAACAGCCCTCTCTCCCCCTACGCACGTCAGCAAAGGACAGATGCCAACTCCTGCCCCGGGAAGGAACAATCCCTGGCAAGGACACAGGGATGGCCTGGCTGCAGGAAAGCCTTACTGGCTCTGCTGGAGACTCTGGGGTCACAGTGGGCAGCAGGCGGGACATGAGGCCAATGGCATCCTGGGGCACAGCCAGGGTATTGGGGGAAATCATTGTTCCCCCTGCTCAGCGCTCGTTAAACTACATCCAGGTACTGCGTCTAATGCGGGGACGTTGATAAACTGGAGCAAGTTCAACGGAGGGCCCTGGCAGGGACCCTGGGCTGGAGCGCTCGCACCCCGGGAAGGGGCTGAGGGATCAGGGCTGGTCCAGCCTGGGGAGGCACCGGCTGCGGGGGGAGGCAGCGGCAGCGTGCCCGTACGCCGAGGGGGCTGCGCTGCAGCGCCGCATCGCTCTGCTCAGTGACGGGTCACGCCGTGCTTTGGGAAGGCTTCACTTCTGCTCAAACATCCCCGCTTGTGTCGGTCCTTCCCTGCCCGCCCACCTGGCACCCCTTCCCCTCCCCGCAGGGGTCCGTAACCCGCTTGCAGTGCCCGTCCTGCCCGCGACGCCGGTGTCCGGGCGCGCGGCTGCAGGCAGAACACGCCTGAGCTCAGCTGCCATCTCGGCACGCCACGGCAGTGGCAGTGTCAAAGGACGACGGGATTTCGAGCCTACACCCCAGCACCGAGGCGCAGAGCGCCCCGTGCCGCAGAGCTGCCGGTGGGCGCGGGAGCAGGGCCGACACAGCCAAAGGATCGGAGGCCCTG